GGGCCTCAATCCAGGACCGGATTTCACCACCAATCGGAACTATAGCATTTTCAGTTTAAATGAAACCATGCTCAAATTAAGCGAAACCTTTTTCAAATTAAATGAAACCTTTTTCATGTTAAGCGAAACCTTTTTCAAATTTAATGAAACCTTTTTCAGATTCAGTGAAACTTTATTCAAATTAAATGAGACCTTTTTCAGATTCAATGAAACTTTATGCAAATTAAATGAAACATTTTTCAAATGAAATGAAACTTTATTCAAATGAAATGAAACTTCTTTTTTGGATTACTTTGAATTAGCTGTTACGTGTTGATCTCCTTTACGGTCAAGGCATGTTGAATACAGTGTTGCCGTTTCGGTCCAACTGGACCAAAATTGGTAGTTTCATTTCTTAAAATAAGGCTATGGTAGGTTGGTTGGTTTGTTGTGATTTTCGAGGGGTTTTGGTAACTAGGCAAATCATATAATTTATTCATTTTATAAAACTTCAAATATCTCTGTTTTCGGGAGTACATGTAAAGGATGATGTAAAAAGGAAAAGAGAAATGGGACATGTCAAAATTATTCTTGAACCGAAGTTGAATGTTGCCGTGATTAAACTGTGCTCTAATCCATAGAGTTTGTTTAAGTTAAAAGAGAATAATTAGACAATTGTTATGCAAATGCCAAATTTTACATTTCGCTTAAGCGAGTGAGAGAGAAGGGAGAGTATTTGTACTTTATCTCACTTTTCTCCCTTAAGAAAATAATAGTTGACAGCTTTGAATTCGTGTAGCAACAGTAAAAATATTCTCCCAGTTAAAGATCATAATCGGCGTTTTCGACTCCCTGATATAAGTATGGCGTCGATACCGTCGATAACGATGTGTAACTGGGAGTTAAGGCTCTGTTACGTACGTGTTTTTACGTAGAAATCAAAAACCAACAGACTTCTACGTATGTAATGCTGTGCGTTGGGTAACAGCTTACACGCGAAGCTCATTTAACAGATTCCTTATGTGACACCTCTCAAGCAATGCCAAGTATGCATAACAGAGCCTAGTGTTAGCCAGACATGGTGCAAACGGTACTTAATAGGTTAAGTTGATTTCCTGTTCCTTAATTTAAAAATGTTTAATACTTAATTTGAATAAAGTTTCATTTAATTTGAAAAAAGTTTCATTTGGTTTGAATAAAGTTTCATTGAATCTGAAAAAAGTTTCATTGAATCCGAAAAAGGTTTCATTTAATTTGAAAAAGGTTTCGCTTCGTCTGAAAAAGGTCTCAATTAATTTAAAAAAGGTTTCGCTTAACCTGAAAAAGGTTTCATTTAATTTGAAAAAAGTTTCATTTAAACTGAAAATGCTATATATGCAGCAAAATTGTCACCATAATCTTCAGAAAAGGATCATAGGTGCCGAATACTCAACCTTGAAACCTAAAACAATACCACACTTGTTAGGAAACTCCAGATGAGGCTTAGCGGGTCTTATTGGACATTGACCGGTTGGCATCGCCTAGAATGAATTCTGTAGAAGCCGCTGAAACGAAAATGAACAGGAAATGATGCATTTACAAATGCCCAACTTTCCATCCTTGTTTTTCCATTTAGTTGCAAGATAATTCTCATGTACGCCTTCAAAATAAATTCAATTTCGTTGAACACCCCGCACTTACTTACTTAGTTGCTGCTTGGTCCTTTAAGTTTTCCACCACCATTCCAATCTAACCTAAAAATTTACATGTAGCCACCCTTAGATATATAAATAGATGTTTGTTGAGCTGTACTGTGCATTCGTGGAATTTTTCTAAAAATTTTGAGTCCAAAACAAAGTATTACTTATACTGCCAAAAGAAGTACAGATACTAGCGTTAGGTATGCCCAAATCCGCTTTGTCGTATCGTAATTTCGAAACTCTTAGGCTATTTTCGCAAATTCGTTATGCTGATTTGCGTATGCCTGATTTGATACCGTCAAAATATTTTAAACGAAAAATTACACCGACGATGGCATAACGCCGAAACGGGTGTGTCTCCTAACCAAATTTGATAACAGACTACGGAAATTCGCTCCTTTAATCCACAATTGATTTTTACTTTTTCAACAGGTGGCAACCCTCTTCAAAAATATTTTCGAAATAAATAATTTTTGAACATCTATAGTTTGACTCCGAAATTGTTGTACTATATTTTATATAACTTATTAATTAATTGAATTTATCTTAAGAAAAGGTGGCAACTCTTTAAAAAAAGATCAGCGGGAAACAGCAACAAACATACTCACCACGCACTCACAAACTGCCCCAAGTTTAGTAGGATTTTGATATTTATTAAAAAAAAAAACGATTAAGAATTAGTTATTTTTATTGAAATTTATTTATTTACTAAATTAGTTTTAACATTGAATTATTTTTATAATTACAATTTATTTTTATTTTCGCTTTGGCTTATTGAAATAGTTAATATACGCGATTAATGTTTTTGTCTTTTTCTAAATTTTTTTCTTACAGCTAATAATACTCTAGTTATTTTTATGTGATACATATGTACATACAAGTACAATACGCGAAAACGAAGTTGTTGTGCATTTTTATTATAATCTTTGCTGTAATCATTCTTAATAATTATTTTTTTGTTTTGATTGTAAGTTTAAGTTAAAAATTTCAGCACTGTTTTTGGGTATTTTTCAAATAAATAAATTAAGTTGTCTATTTGAATTTTTTTAATTATAGTATTTTTTAACTTTTGTTTCTACATACATATTTATGTATACCTATACTGAATTGGTTTCGGATTTAATTTTACGTTTTTTTATATTTTTTAATTTTTTTGCCTCGTATTTTTATTTATTACTTGTTAATACATTTTTTATAGAATTTTATGTATTTTAGCGAATTGCTTATCCTAAATAAGTTACTCTCTTTATTGCACTTTCTTGATATCTGCGTTTTTCTTATTCACTAAATGTAGTTTAATATTTTTTTATGACACCCAAGAACTGTTTTTACATCGTTAATCTACGAATAAATATTTGTATGTATACACATATATGCTATTTTTATATTAAATGGTAACACATACTTATACCGAACTTATACCAAATTTCCACTAGGCATTGAAATGAGCCAATTAAAAAAAACCAACTGCAAACAAATTAAATGACTATTATTCTAAGAGTAATGACACGAATTTGTTTTTAATGAGCACTTTTGTCTAAAAAATTTGTGCCACTTAATGCACAGTGGAATCGGGCATAATATATATTTTTTTTAATTCTTATGTCAAGTTTCCATTATGCATTGAGATGACAAAAAATTTATGCCATGTGGAAACAAACATAATGACTTTTTTACGAACGCAATGACACGGCCATTTTTGATTACCCTATATAATCATAAAAAATTTTGTCATTTAGTGCCTAGTGAAAATTCAGCATTATACCGAATTTCTACTGTGCATTAAATGAAAAAAAATAAAAAATTGTGACAAGGTTGGACATTAAAAAAAAAACGTCTCACTAGGTAAATAAAAACAGTATTGGCACATAAATATTATTATAATATTTTTTGACATATCAATGCCTAGTGGAAATTCGCCATTATTTGTATGCCAATATTCTTACTTATATTAGCTCAATTCTTGATTTATATATATGTGTACTTTATACTACAGTAACAGTTTTACTTGCTTTCTTAATTTTATATACTTACTTAAATATTTGAGCTACAACAGTTTATTCAAACTTAAACAAAATATTTAAACAAATTGCACTTTAAATTTAAAAAATAAATGAATCACATTTCCTATTTTAAAACTTTTATACAAAAATTATATAAAGTAAAAAGCGAGAAATATTTGTAATTTTAGTGGTTATAAAACAACTACATCTCAGCTTAAATACTTAGAATGGCTTAATACTAATGTTTACGCTTTAATACATAAGTACATACATACATACATATGTATGTAATTAAATTTAGCAAACTACATAAATTACTTTCTCTAATAAATATGTACATACTTCGCTGTCTTGCGGAACTGCACATCAATACCGGCGCGAATTATAATTTAGCGCTCTTCAACAATTTTCGAATTTTCTCATTTAGTTCTAAAGTTCGGATTTAACAGCTAAAATTTAGCAGTGAAATTAAATACGTTATACACAAAGAGATTATTTATTTACAATTGTTGCTACGAGCGTGAGAACATTGAACGCTTTCTTGGTGGAATACGAATCCAAGTGGTTTTACTAATACAGAAATTATCCGAGGGGTGTCTCTTTCGGACGTTCTTCATCATGCCGTCTGACTCGTATAGGATTTCTAGCTTAGCATTTTAGAATGCCTATTTGATATTAGTAAATCCAATTTATACAAAAATCTACATTTTTGCATCAGACCCAGGAAAAATCGATCTAATTATGCATGTATGTACATGCATTAACACAATTAAAAATTTACAAGTTTGCTTCGATAATACATTCATATCAACTAATGACTTCTAATGGGTACGCCAATACTTCGTTATATCTAAGTATGTAAGTATTTTTTTTATATTTAGAAACTAAATAAATTTTTATAAGGCTAATGCTTAATACCTGTCTTTTTACTAAAAGTAATATTTTTCATACTTCTTTTATTAAGTTATGTTGTTACAAACTAATACTATACATTAGGGTGTGCCTTAAAAAATATCAACATTAAAATTTTGTTTGGAGCACCCCTTTATTTTTTTGTACGTACAACATAAAGACCATCTCGAAAATTTTAATTTTTTTTTAAATCGCAAAACCTCGACAAAATTTAGTTGAAAAGTTTTCATAAACTCGCTGGGTTATTCCCGGTCAAAGTAAAAAAATTGTTGAATTTTGCCGCTTAACTTTTTTTCATTACAAAATTTTCGCGTATGTCTTTATTTTGTATGTGGAACAAAATAAAGGGATGCTACATGATGGTGATATTTTGGGACCACCCTACTAAACATACTATATATTAATGTGTACATTTTAAGGACCACTCTACTATACATACTATATACTTAAATGTACATATATACATACATTGGACTAGTAGCTTATACTAAGCTCCGGTGATGGGCATCGCCATACTCGCGTGCAGCGCTTTTTTAAGCTTTCTATATTTTTTTTTTTTATAGACATGACGGCCTGAGAGCTTGCTCTCGCTATTCTTACTGACTTTGAAACGGAAAGCTTTCACTGAAATTTGCTTTGCATTAAACTAGCTTACACCTTTTATAAATAAACTTTCGATGAAGCTTGAAGCAGAAATTTTGCATCTTAATCTGTGAAAGACATCTCCTTGTCCGTGTGCAAAGCTTTTTTAAGCTTTCTATACATTTTGTGTGGGCGTCCACCGTTTAAAAGCTCTTTCGAATTTACAAAAATTATTGTTTGTTGTTAATTTGCGCTCCGAACTTTACAAATGTACATATATATGATTATACCGCAAACATGACCAGAGAGAGCTTTTACCACACGCTCATATAAAAACTACAGAAAGCTACGAAAAGCTTCCCCTGCGGAATAAGTCTTGGTCGTGACGGATGTAAATGCCGATATGGCCAGAGGCTGCTCATGAAGAATTTCCAATATTTTTTTAGTCATATATTTTTGTATTTGATCTATTTATTGTCGAAACTTGACTACTTTCGATGGATAAGTGGTCAATAATCGCGACTTTCACGGATTCCTATCAGGGAATATTTGGGCCTTATGCACGATTTCTGTTGAATTTAGTTATAACCCTCTCGAAAAAGTTCTCTTTAAATCAAGCTGTGTGTGAGGTGTTAGCGAAACCATTTTTGTATGTATGAGGCCAAGGCTCCTCCTGAAATTCACTTGAACAGGGCACTCACAATTACAATTTTTGTCTCCGTGTGAAAGTATGGAGCTGTCCAAGGAGATTTCGGCGTTTTGCCATCTTCAGTGCTATTTTAGGTGGTTCCAACACACATTATACACCAACCCTGTCGGGAAGAACAACTAGCGTAACGAAAGAGCCAAGTATAGCATACCATTGCGGGCGGAATATACTACATCGTTTAAATATATTCCATGGCTTCTCACGGCGGCACGTATTCGAGTGGTTAAATTTTCAATGACTCTCTCACGTATTTAGATCCCGCTGAATTTGAGCGATAGCCTGGCTTATGTTTACTTAAACGGCATCCGATAGATTGTTTCTTATTGTCATATGCGGGGACTTCAGAAAACCCCGTGATATTGAAGGCCGATTAATGTCACCCTACGTCTTTTTAATATTTTCACCTACAAATGCGCGAGCTCAGCAGCCGGGAGCGGCGCCGGAGTTATGTATGCCTGTTGCTAGCTCCATCCTTGGGAACTTAGACGCTGTGTAGCATTTCTCAGTAGTGGGGTGCTTCTGCATCATTTGCGTCACATAAATAAAGCATTGAGTACGGAGCTCATTGAAGAAGCCTCGGACGAAGCTACCAAGGTCATCGAAAAATGAGAGAGTGGCTTAACTGTTTCTTAAAGTTATTTAAAACGGGTTACGGGAAAACAATTGTGTCTAATTGTGTGTGCGCTCAAAATTATTCCTTCTTCAACTGCTGTTCACTCTCAACATGGATTTAATGAGAGTGTCACATAAATTTGTTCTGCGACATGGTCCGAATTTGAGTCTTCTCTATAAATATCTGCTTAAATACTATTTATTTATATTTACAGCGTAGTTAGTACTATAGTTTTCAATAGTTCTCTCTTAGTTGGCGTTAAACCCAGTAATCTCTCTCCCCCCATTCACTCCCTCTTCTCACCCACGCTTATATCGGTGTCGGCATTAATGTATAATCTTGATGCAGACTAGGTTTGACCGCATCGTAGAGCGGCCGTGTGCCATCGTCGGGTAGCGCGTAAACATCGGGTGGCACACAGAGAGATTGTAATTTCGATATGTATGAGTCGAAGGGTTCATGGTGCGCATATCCAGCTGGATGATGCACTGTATAGGGATGATGTGGCGGCATTGAACCACCATGAGGTGGTGGTGGTGGTGGATGTGGTGGTGGACCCAACATGCCATGATGTGTGCCAGTCAAGTGATGTGGTGGCGCTGCATACATCGATACAGCACCACTCACCACATTCGTTGGCGCAATGGATGCGGTGGGTAGCGGACTTGGTGGTATCAGCGCGGGATGTGGTGGATGTGGCGCACCATAAGCGCTGGTCAATTGTTGATTACTCAAAACTTCTGCGGTGGCGGGTAAGCCAGCAATATTTGCAGACAAACTATTGCCAATGGTATCGGAGGGATGACCGCCTATGCTGGTGCTACTTACATTATTGCCGCCATTGCCAGCGCCTAGCGGACTCGAGCTCATGCTTGCGCCGCTATTGCTGCCGGGTGGTGGCAGACGCACATGCTCGAGCAAAGTAATTACATTATTACGCAAACTTTCGTAATAGGAACTGGATGTGGGTGCACCGCCGTTGCTGGTTGAAGAAGCGGCGGTGCTGATGCTGACACTGGGTGGTGGTGTTAAGTAGCTGCCACTGTGGTTGCCTATGGGCCCTATGGTGTGACTGCTGGGGAGGGTGTGCGAGAGATTGCCGCTGGTGAGGGGGTTGTTGTTGGCTCCGACGCTGCTGCCACCGATGTTGATGTTATTGTTGCCGTTGGCGCTGCTGCTGTTGTTGCCGTTACCGTTGACGTTGCCGTTGCCGTTGCCGTTGCCGTTGCCATTGTGGTTGCTGAGCGGGGACGCGGTTGAGGCGCTGGAGGAGACGCTACCAAGAGCTGTTGCTCCTCCAGCATTGATAGTCACCGCAGAGAGATTACGCTGTTGATGAGTACTCAGCGGAGAAGCCTCCTGTTAAGGGGGAGGAGAAAGAGAATAAAATAAAGAAAGAGAGAGAAAGAGAAGATTAATCTATTAATAAAATTATTTAGTGAGGTTATCATTAAACTATGCTTAAATACGCAAACAGAGAGGGCCCTATAAAATATTATATAACAATAATCGATGGGAGGTCTCTTGCTAGGAGTCATTAGCCGACGATTTGACTGTTTGCCTTTGCATACATATCTTATCCTAAAAATTTGAGTGGTTCTGAATACCTAGAGCTTTAGGTAATTTCTAAACTAAAACGCTAAACACTAAAAAAAAAAATATATATTTTGAAAATTTGATAAACTAGTTTAAAAAGTTTGATACAAAATTTTTTTTGGGGGAAGGGAACCGGTAGATATTTAGTACCGGGACCGGATTTTGCCTTGTTGGCTCTGCCAATCGCGACAGTGTTCTCGTGACCCGAACGACCAAGATTTAGACTTGGCCAATGACTGCCACTCCAACAGCTTCCCCTAAACTCTTCGGGGAATTTGAATGCTGTTGCAACGACAGCCGACCGTCTTTTCCTTGCGAATTTACGCCAGTCATTCAGACAGGCCCATAGACACGATAAGTTATATTTAAAGCAATTGGTGCCATTGGCTAGACCCGGTGCTTAGGGTTCTTCCTCGTCAAGCACGTACTCAGGACATCCGTTATCTCTTTTCCATCTTGGTATCTCAAGGAACTAGCCCTGGTATTAAAATCATTAGATTGTAGCCTTATTTTCAGATATAATTTTCGGTCAAATTCCTGCCAGCCAGCATCTCAAACTCGTTCTTCTTGAAAATACGTCCATTCTTCCCCCTTTTCTTAGCGTTGCAATCCAGTGTAGGGAGGGAATGGGGGGAGATCGTTCTTCAGGGTATGCTATTCCTTAAACCAGATCGTGGAATTTGCGAAACTTGGCAACTTCAGTATTCGCTTGTTGTTAGATCATCTTAAAATCCTAAACCCAGGAATTTTTGTTTTTGCTGTACTAGTAATATCGAGCAAGATAATCGCAGATCAATAATAAACTATTTTGAAAAGTAAATTACATTTTGGCTCCACTGTGTGCCAACTCTACCTTAAAGACGAAAAAAACTTTAAATGCATTTTTCTGACTGTACGGCCTTGGCCAGACACAGATTAATGCATTTAAAATCATCTTCAGTCGAATCCTTTGTAATCAGGAATTCGCTTAACAAGGTAATTTTAGGATTTTTAAATATACATATGAGCCATTCTTTTTTAAGTCGGACGGATTTCGTAAAAAAAATTATGTCATGTCTCCGATTCGCTTCGGTTTTTGCAAGAAGTTAAATTTTATTGTGGATTCCGGTAGAATACCCATCCAGATATAATATTTGTATGGCAAGATTTTTCTTTAAGGCTATAAACCCCTAAAAATGGGCGTGACAGTTTTAGGACTAAAGTTTGCAAAACGCAAATTTTATTGCGGATTTCGGCAAAACATTTGTTCCACAACTTTTTCAATCAAAGGATCTTCTAGAAATGGGCGTGGCTATATTAAAACCAAAGTTCAAAAATTTAGATTGTGGATTTCGCTAGAATACCTATACGGATCGAAAAAGTTTGTATTATAATTTTATTCACATAACGGTTGTTTGTAACAGCCAACACGAATCGAGATAGATATGGATAAATGTATATATAAATGCTCATAATGAATAGAGAAGCCGATTAAGCCATGTCTGTCTGTCCGTCCGTCCGTGTACCCGATAACTCGAGTAAAAATTGAGATATCTCAACGAAATTCGGTATGTAGATTTCCCTTTATCCAAGGTAGATTGGTATTGAAAATGGGTGAAATCGGACTGTAACCACGCCCACTTCCGAGATAACGGTATTTTCGAAAAATGCAAAAACTACGATATTTCTGTAAATATTGGATCGAAATTGTCGAAATAAGTATGTGAAGCAGAATTTTGGTAAAAAATAGTATTATTAAAAAGGTTTTGGAAAATGGGCGTAACCGCGCCTACTTATGATGAAATGCTGTATCTCAGTAGCCGCTTCACCAATCCGTACCAAACACGACACGAGCCTTGCCTAGTACCTAATTAAGAAATCTGTTGAAAATATTTGAAATCGGGCAATAACCACGCCCACCTCCCATATAACGGTAATTTACAGAAACACGAAAACTGCGATAAATCAGTAACTACTAAATCAAATTGACTTAAAATTGATAATTACAATAACCACTTAGCAGAAAATAAGATTATTATAAATTTTTGGATAATGGGCGTGGCGCCGACCCCTTATAACCACAAATGTGTATCTCGGTAACCGATTAATCAATTTCTACCAAACTCACTCAATAACCATAGTACAAGAAAGAAATCCGTTGAAAATCGGACTGAAATTACACCCAGTTTCCGTATAACGGTAAATTTCACATATCCTAAAACTCCGAAATTTTAATAACTGAGAACGCTAATTTCCTCTAAGTTAATAGTCAACAATCTCTTAACAATAAATAAGACTGCTATAGACTTTTAGGAATTGGGTGTGGCACCGCCCACATTATGACAACAAGGTGTATCTCGGTAACCACTAGATTTTTATCAAAACTTGGTTATATTATTTCATTAAGTCTAATTGAGAATATAATCGAAAAAGTTATCATGTAAATATAGTTTAGAGAAAGTTGAAACGACGATATTCGATACCTGTGCCGGGTATATAAAGTTCGGTTTCGTCCGAACTTATACTTCTTTACTTATTTTAGTATATCTTTTTTAAACGTTCATATATTCACCATTTTTAGCTAGTATACAAATTTAAAATGAATTTAGTTAAATTAGAATAATAGACTAGGACACAAATCATAACGTCACCTTTTCATCCCCACCATTTGACCCTATTCGGTTATGACATTCTATACAAAACGAATAAAACGGAATAATCCGCATTAATTAGGGGACTTCATATTCTTCGCTGTCATTATACTTCCACATCATTTAATAATATCAACTAATTGAATTTATTTCAATTCAATTTCGTTCGGTTCGTTGATGCGTAATAACGACCCTTCAAGAAAAGTGTGGCACCTACCACAGAACCAAATAGAAAACTTCATATACCACCCAGCGGTGAGATAGCGACCAGCAAAAAAACGGGCTTATGGGCAAAACAACAAAATACAATAAAAAGTACGAATGTCTACGATAACGAAGAGGGTAGACATTTTTTTTCTAGGATATCAAACAGTGCAGTGCGAGCGAAATAGCAAACTTAGAATTTCAAGCGCGAAAAAAGCAAAAGAAATCATAAAAACTGACGTTGAGAAAAAGAAAAGGCAAAGTCCAAAAAAAGCGAAAATAAAAAGAAAAACACCGACGGGTATGTGTGTACAAGTAACACACACATACACACGCACCACCTGAATAGTCAAGTGGCATTATGGACGAAAACAAGAAAAAATGTAGTTCTGCGACGCCCTCTTCTTGGATGCAAGTGGGGAGCTAGATGACTGTTATATTCGCATTGATGGTGGTGGCTCCAACTGACAAAGTCAGTGTGCGTGAGCGGCGATGGTAATGGTGGTGTGGCGCTCTTGGATACACACCGAACGGCCACTGGAAAATGCTGTGCTGTCGTTGGCTAAGCGCCAGCGCACTACAATCATATGGCGCCTCCTTTGTTGTTGGCATTTTTTTTCTCCCTACCAACACACGTATACATACATACATACATTTAAGAGTTGTAACAGTGAATGTCTCTTGGGAGGCCAAAAGGTTACACACAAGCCAAATAATTCTCATGTGACTCCCCATTTGGGCTGTGTGCGTGTGTATGAATATAACAGACACATGCATACATACATATGTACGCAGTGGAACAAGAGTGACTTAGGGGTGGGGGTGGTGTTGGTGTTGGTGTTGGCTTGCCATTATAAGGGCGACTGAATAGGAGCGAATCGAAATGAAACGCGATTTGTTGATTTGTTTACGAGTGAAAAGGGACAGATGACTACAACTACAATCTGAGTACTAGGCACAACAACAACGCCTCGTCCGATTTCGAAAGCAGGTGGGGCTTATGTATACATATATACATACATACATATGTACATACATATATGTGTAGGTGACCACTGGGAATAGGGTCTGCCAGCAAACAGCAATTCCAGTGCAACACTTTACGCGCATGTACGCGCCACCTTTAGGGATTTGCAACGCTGCTCTCACTTTGCTGATATATGTATGTATGTATATATGCATGTAGGTGAGGGATGTTGCCTCAGTCGTTGGAAGGTCCTTCACACAACAGCAACAGCCCTTGCATTGAAATGCATCCAAATTGCATTAAAGCACACTCATTGGTTGCAGCGTTGTTGCTGCTGCTGCTGCTGCTGCTCTCCACTTAGCAGTCATTGTTTGCTGTCATCGTAACGCCATTTTGTAATTTATCTAGATGGGGCTTCTCGGCTGATTGCCGGTCTACTTGCAAGTGTATGTACGTGTGTGTATGCGTTGCCATTGCAATTCATCATCATTGCATTTAAGAAATTTGTTTACCTCATTTACTATGTCTACATAAAAAATGTTTGTGCGTAAGTTTATCCCAGTGATTGCAACACGAAAAGTTTGTGTATGTATGTATGTATATTTGTGTATTTTTGCTGTAATTGAAATTGTATTTTCATTGGTTGTTTAGTGAGCAGTAAAAAAGGACTATTTGCCATTAGTTACTAAATTTCTAATCAATGATGACATAAAGTTATTTCATAAGAAATTGTCTAAGTAACTTTTAGGGTGTAGGTACAAAACTAGCTCAGCATTGATAAAATGTCGGCTAACAAAATTGGTTTTCAATTTAATAATTTTATTCATCAAAAGCAACACAATTTCTGTTATATACGATGGAAATTTTATTTTCTGATAGTCCCTTTTATTTAAAATAAAAATTGAAAACCAATCGCTGTACTTCGTTTCTCATGGGGCTTTTTATTAAATATTAAAAAAAAAAATTCTTTAAAAATTGCGTCACTTGAATAGGCACAGTAAGGGTAGCATTTAGGGATGTTAATTTTTCCGCTTTTTACGATCCCGTAATTTTCGAGATGGTTATCACAATCTCGGGATACTCCCCAGATTTAGATATTCATTACTTTTCAACAACTTAAATCGAAAAAATTGCTTCTATATCTCCTACCATAAAATAATTAATAACTAAATGGGTTAGAAACCTACCTTTTTATTTAAAGTGACGTTTTTATTTTTTCTCTTTGACGTCAGGATTTATTTTAAAGGACTTTACAATTTCAAAGATATGATTAATTCCAAAAATTATTTCAAAAATTCAATGCAATGTAGAATAAAAATATGGGTACGAAATGATAGAGAAAATTTCTTTAGAATTCAAAAAATCAAAATTTTGTGGATTCGCAAGGACGCATAGGTAATTTTTTAACCTGATAAAGTTAGAAGGACGAATTTCGAGGATGTTATCGAGTTTATATAAATCCTAAATATATAACTTTTTCAAAAGCAAATATTGCGAAATTTCAAGGATGAAATTTAAAAAGGACATTTTCAATACTTACTAGTCCTTATGTACCAAAAAAATTGAATCTGATTAAATTCTACAGAATTTTCTCTTTAATTTGACACCCATACTTCTTCTCTTAGCACATTTCACTGAATTTTTTAAATAATTTTTGGATTACTGACGTCAGAGCGAAAAACCAAAAAAGCAAATTTTACTATATTTGGCCCATGGTTTTACGAATATATTGATTTCTGTGTATAAAATTTACTATCGCACGGTGTTATATGTATAATGAGCTAGACATTTAAAAAAAATATTAATTATTAAATAAAAAAAAAAGAAATATAACCAATACTGGTCAAGAAAATGAAGTTTCTATTATTTCCATCGACGCAAATTACAAATCCCGAAAATCCCGAGATTATTTGTCAAGCATCCCGGGATTTTTGGGACCTAAAAAGGCCGAGATCCCGGGATTAACATTCCTAGTAGCGTCCTTGTGCATATGGAAAATTAGATTAAATTTTATTTAACAGAGTTTAAAGAGTTTAAAGGACCTTTTAAGCTATAACAGAGAAAAAATACAAGCGGGTGCACTTCCGACTGCAGAAAATGTAAAAATTGAGGACCTCCCATTTCCAGGACTTTGAAGGCGAGCTGTTGAGAATACAATTAAATTAAAAACATTTTTGCAGCGTGCACTCTATTAACTATGCCAAAATTTAGTAGTAACTGTTTGGAAGTGATTGCTTGGCAAAGTTTGCGAGACAGACAATCCTTTTGATGGTTGGCAGTATCGACAAAAGTCGTAAGCAGCGATGTTTTCTTGAATTATAAAAGCCTTTAGAACAGTCTTCAGTACAGGGTTTTGTTCTATACAAAGACATTAACCCTTTCAGGACCTTGGCCTTGTGCTAAAAAGTTACTCCAATCATTATCATATTGTTTGCAATGTGCTGCAGGGATTTTCTAGAGAAAAATGATTGTGTGAAATGTGGCAAAAATTTAAATAAATAAATATCTTGGAAAACATTATTTTCGAATTTTTTTTTGTGGCAAGATTAACTGTTTGGGCAATTTTTTTTTTTTGCGAAAAGATATATTTATTAGAAAAAAAAATCATTTTCGTTTTACTAGTTTTAATACACAACAATACTTTTGAAGGATTTTAGGAATAAATAATTTTTCAGGAGAAAACTATACTATGTATTTACAAAAATATTTTAGGAAATAATAAGAAAAAAATATTATTGTCCTAAAAATATTTTGTTTAAATCTTTCTAAAATCTTATTGTAAATATATTTTTTTCTAAAAATAGTGTTTTCCTAAAATCCTTAAAACATATTATGTATTTAATTTAATAGCATTATTTTCTTGAGAAAAAATGTTAAAAAAATCGATTTTTAAGGAGTTTGTTAAAAAATAATTTATTTAAAAAATATTTTACCAAAATTTTAAAACACATCAAATATTGCTAAAATTATTGTTTAGCACAAATATTTAAAAAAATTTGAACAAAACTATTTTTTTTGTATGGAAAAAATGATAACATTCCTTGAAATTCAGTGAGTTGAAGGCCAATCTCTTAAACAGACATAGAAGCACATGTACATTTTGTTTTGGGGTGGCAAATTCAAATAAAATTTGTCATAGGTCATAGCTCGCCAGTCAGCAAAATGAAGAGCGCTTCTAAATACACGCTTTTGTGGCAAGACTTTTCCAAAAATATCTTTTGATATAGTATTAGAACGTTTTCTAATTAATTCAGAGGCAACTAAATTTGAACTGCGTCATTCGTTTCGTTTAAATTTTAATTTCGAAGAGTAGCCGGACCAGAAAACCTAAAGTCTACAATTACATTACACACATACGAAAAAAAAAATCCCCTTTCTTGAAAATTTACTGTGCACAAAGGGCGCTTAACTGAATTTAAAAATTGCATGAAAGGTTTAAAATATTTGTAAGAATATTTTCGATGATCAAATTTAAGTACACAAAATGGCGTGCAAGTAAAATTCAATACTTTCTAAAACAATTCGACCCAGAAGTGGGACTTTGACTTAAGTTATTAATAACTTTACGCCAAAACTTTAGTGCGATGACGAATGCAAAACTTTAGTTGTTAGACTATAAACTTTCTGCTCCAAATTTTGCAAAGCAAAGTGGCGCAGACACAAAGTCAACGCTCAACGCTCAGCGTCGACGTCAACGTGAACGCCAACAGCAGCGGTACAAGTACAAGTACACTAACCGCAGCGATTTAGCGCGCGACTGAAAGCGTGTGAAAGTGTTTGCGAAGCGAGATGCCATGGCGGCGCAACGTGTCGAGGAAGTTTGGAGAAGAGTGCAAGAACTTTTCATAAAAATTAATTGATAAACTTTGATAAAAGCACAAAAGTTAACTTAAGTAGAAAGTACTAAAGTTAAAGAGCGGGAGTGGTGGAGCGGGAACGGCAGAGGGTGAAGGGGTAGGGGGGCAACGGTAGCGGAACTAAGTGAAAATATGAGCCATTGCCAAGTTGAGACAGCAGCGTTGGAATTTCCTAACACTTTTCAGACTGACTGCTGCTGCTATTTGTCTGTGTGTCTGTCCGCACGTCCGTCTGTCTTACTGCTCTTGTGTGTCTATTAAGTTTGAGTTTGAATTCGAGCATATGCTTTTGTACTTTGCTAATAATTTAAATAACAAAAGTTGTAAGTAAGTAAGAAAAAATTAGAACTTTATGTTTGGTGTTTGGGTTAAACGCCGACGGTGTGTGTTGGGTATGACGCTGGCGCCGCAGCTGACGTCGTTTTCTAGGCAAAAGCAAAAGTTAGCAGTTGCTGAGCAAAAGTTAGAAAACTCCAAGTTTTGAGTTTTGGTGTGAAAGTTGTTGCGCCTTTTGCTAGCCGACGCCGCCGCCGCCGCCGCCGCCAACGAAGAGAACGCCATATTTTTTCTTTGCTTTTAATAATATTTGCTACCTATCTCTATCGCGCGCTGTCTGTTCGGTTGTCTGTTAAATTTCTATGTCTTTTTTGTTGTTGAATTGAGTTAGGGTAGTTAGTAAGTTTGTTTTTGGTTTTTGGAAATTCGGCGACGTCCTTGAAAACTGTAATAAGAAGTTTATAAACAAATCATACACAAATTCACTAATACAGGCAAACAAATTTTAAACAATACTGCTACAAATACAAAGGTACATATGTATATATGCATTTAAGTTGATTGCATATTTTTAGAGACAAGGAAGTAATATTTGGAGTGAACTTTTGGGGTAAAGAACAAAGTTCAAGGACTCAAAGAGGTCGAGAGTTTTATGCCTACATATTTTGCCCACTAAAACACTCCGCTGCTAAAGTTTTATGCTATTCTCCTAAACTAAATCAAGGCCGTAATTTTCGTCTACAACAATAATAACAATAAAAACTTGTGTACATACTTATTTAGTTACTTATATTTGTTTGCCTCAACGAACCTGAGCCTACGTACCCTATCGCTGGTGTTCAACTGTGATTCCATGGCATTTATGTCGGATTTGAGACGCATCATTTGCGATTCGACGCGTGCATTCTCTCTTTGCAGCTCCGATATTTCCGCTTCGAGCGTATTCAAGTCTTCGCCAACACCGACGTTGCCATTGCCAGCACTGCCACCGCCAACGCCAACGCCACCATTTGTTGAGGGCACGTTGTTGTTGCTGTTGTTATTCGCTGTGCCATTGCCACTACTGCCATTGTTGCTATTATTGCCTTGCAGACTGTCGGGCAGTGTGGCTGGACCGGCTACAGAAGACGAGACATTGCCCAGCGCTGCTGTGGAACTAACTACCGAAGCGTTGTTGTTGCTGCTGTTGCTAATATTACTCGATACGGAGGCGGAGGAGGAGACTGCGGAGCCAACACCGACACCGACGCCAACGCCAACGCCGCCCATCATCATGTCGATGCCTGGAAAAGGAGTGGAAGTTAAAGGAAGATTAACGTTGAGTATTTTTTAAATATTTATTTGAACTGTATTATTTTTAACCATTATTCGAATATAATTTTTTGATCTAAAAAATGTTAAATTAATTGAAAAAATTACGTGTGCGTGTGCTAAATAATTTGCATAAAAAATATTTATTTTGCTTTAGAGCTAAGTGTTGACTACTAACTAAGCTTCAAAAGCGTTTTTTTTTAGTTGATTAAAAAAAAAAATTTTTCGATTTGGTTTTTTAGTACATCTTGAAAGTAGGCTTAATGAGGAAATTTACAAGGTGTTATAACCATCACATTGTCATCACAAAATCAAGGTTTTTAAAAGGGCTAAAATTGTTTGTGGTTGCATTGAATAGCTAAAAAATATTTTGAATTCCTTTACAATTTGTGACAAGATGACTTTTGAAACCCTTAAATACCTTTTCTTTCGAGTTAGTTTTTTTGTACTAAAAGTGTACTAAAAATACAAGAAACGAAAAGTAAATGAACACAAGTTACATAATTCCACTAAATATTTTAAGATATTTAGGCACAGTTTTCAATAAAAAATTTGGTTTTTAAGATGAACTAAAATTAATTATTAGAAATCGTAAAAATGAATGAATTTGAATGAAATACAACTTGTACTAAAAACAAAATATTTAACCTTAGCTTTTAATGCTTAAAATATGTGTTGCAAAAAGCACGACAAAGAAGCTTGACTAAAAGTAGTGTCTGCTCTAAATGTGTATTAAAATATATGTACTAAAAATTTAAGTAATATAAAAAGAGCCTTAGGTCAAAAATGAAAGTACTAAAATTGTGCGCTGCACAAGAATCCTTGCTAAGCTTAATGCAAAATTTAGTACAAACGTATGTACTAAAATTTATGATATTGTGGAAAAAGCTGTTAATGTGATTTCCAGACGAAAAAAGTGTACTAAAGTTAAAGAAGATGAAAAACTTTTATATGAAAAAGTTTGTTCACGAAAACAGTGTACTAAAATTTAAGGAAGTTGGAAAAGTAATTCCAAATTAACCATTAAGTGCCTTAAGCGATTTTGACTGAGTTTAAAAAAGGCGGCAGGTCTGAATACCATAGGCAGCCGAGTTATGCTCCACTTGGTCTTTCCTAGAAAACATCAATTTAGTAGAGGAAACATTTTTACTAAAAGGGAGTCCAAATACTCGTGGATACTAGGGCTATTAGGAAGAAGAAGATATAATACAATATGCCACGTGCGTAGTTTAACAGGTTGACGTGCTTCCGCCTTTGCCCTGGTGTTTTGTAATTGATGCCCTGCTTGTTAACTTTAAGATGGCTCTAGACTCTAACTTAGCTTGCGATCTTCAATAGACGGAGAAGGTTGAACGAACCTTCAAGTCACTATAACTTGACTTTTATGGAAGCCTCGCATTGAATAAAACTCCTCCAAAGCCTTAATACCATTCTCGCAGTTGACACAGGTCTTTGGTAAAAGGTATGGTCTATCACGTAGAGGAATCCTGTGAATTTTTAAATCTGTGTTGTGGTTGAGCAGACTCCCAATCAGTTGCGGGGGATGCACTTGGATGCACTCCAACCGCCACTGAGTGTCTTTATCCGTCAATGTCAAGTTCTCTGAAGGTGAAAGCTCAATATTGATCACGGATTTACATATCCAAAACTGACACTCTCCCAGGATATGAAGACTATATCAAAGGTAAAGGGGAAAATATTCACGACTCTCTTGCCCATGGACTACGTGGTGGAAAAAATAGGTGGGCAGATGCCTTTAGTAACATTAAAACTGCACTCAAGGTATTGATCAGTCCTCTAAAATGCGAATTTCTACTAAATTAGCTTGGAAAACAAAACGAATCTCTTCTACTTTGGGTGCCATGTCACACGGAAGCTCCTGAGAAATTTGCGTGAAAATGAGCATTCCTTGGCCTTCTCCTTGTTTTGGCACTCCCCCCTACGGCCATGTTGTACTCATTTCCGGATGGTCTGTGTAATTGTAGACAACTTGTGGGACTGATGACCGGTCATTTCTTGTCGCATAAACGCCTGACTGTGATCGGAATATACAAACATATATATAACAACCCGAGAGTGCGGACCACTTTTTGTGCTTTTGCTCTGGCTTTGCAACGATTAGGTATGAGGCTTAGACTGGGATGTGTTGAAGAACCCAACAATCTGGTCCGAATACACACGAAATAGTTCAATGCACAGCACGTAGAACGTTTGCTCGCGTTTATTTTTTTTGTTAATTCCGACCAAAAAGAGTCACAATAGGCCAAGACTGAAATCTCGTATGTACGCTAAAGACCAGAAAAAATGTTTAATTTTTATATTTTTTAATTAAGTTTTTGTTCTATTTCTTGTAATTTTACAGCTTTCACCAAACAAATTTTATATTAGCCTAGCAATTACATGCGCTTTTTCTGGTCCAGGTTACAGAAGCGCCAGAAGGGCGCTGAGTCTCGTGAAATACTCAGTGAGAGTTCGGAGATTCTTTCTGCCTAAATTAAGAAGTTTTTTGGATCCTCTAGAGATGGACAGATAAATCGCTTTGGTTGTTGTTTAAGCGACTTATGCATTTCCCGCATAAACAAAGAACAGCGAACACACACATGTACTTGTATTGCACTCCCGCCCAAAACCAAGTGCAGCGAATAAACACACGCACTTGTGTTTAAAAATAATTCGCTCGTTCTTTATTGGGTATGCATTTTTTTATGCACTTCTCAACTGCCGCAGAACAAAACCTACTAAAGTAGTTAATTGCTGGCACCCCAAATCATGCTCAACAATCCAGCATGATGCATCACCACTCCTCCGGAGTGGTTTTAAACAGCAAAAGCCAAAGCGCTACAAGCTGTAGGGGCTCTGTATGACTTTCAGCATACAGAGGTGGTACAAGAGCTACCATTGGCCACAGCGCCTCCCCAATTTTTTAACTTAAATAAATAACCGGTGCTCAACACTCCGCTTGACGCACAGCCACAAAAACTCTTACAGAGTTTAAGCGGCAAAGCCACAGCGCTACAAGCCGTAGGGACTCTGCATGACTTACAACCATGCAGAGGTGGTAACTGATGGTTATCATTGGCTCCGACGCCTACCCAAAATATTTTTGCTTTAATACATTTTTATGCAAATAAATTCTACCTGGTCCTGCCCTCACACTGAGTTATTCAGTTGTCTCTGCCCTAGACACGCAATCCAGTGTTTCCTGAATTGTTCATATATAGCCGGTTAGTGTTTTTTAGGGTGTCAATGGTATCATATCACTCATACCCTCGGTATCCAGCCCAGTAAAAATTGGTGGGTAAGTTGTCCATTGGTATCGATTAAATTTTCAAGTATGGATTTCCTGTATTCCAAAAACTTTGATGTAAAATAGATTTTGAGCACGAACACTCGATAATTTTTGCTTTTTGGTTTTTAGGCATGAAGTGATTCGAGATTTGTCGAGTCTTTTTCGAGACTTTAGGAGATTTTTTTGGGACATTTTTGGATTATTTCGGAATTTCTTGAAATTTTTGTGAAATGTTGGGGAGAATTTGGGTTACTTTGTAACTTTTTGGAGATTTTCGAAGTTATATGAGATATTTTTTTTTAATTTTTTGTCACTTTACGTAGTTTAAATGGATCTTTTCGGTATTTGTTTGGAGTTTTCAACGGACATTTAATTTTTAAATTGGTTTTTTAAGATTGCCCTTAATATTTTCAGCTTAAAAAATATTTAGACTTTTTTTTTATTTTTACCTTTTTAAAATGTGAAAACAGAAATTATTAGTGTGGAAAATTTATTGTGGGAAAAGCCTCGAAGACAGCGAAAGTGATACTAAACAATCAAAATTTTAATGAAATTTACTCACGAATATCGATTTTTTTAGTTTTTCAATTTAAGGGCATTACACCATAAAATATATTTTTAGCAAACTAAGTAATGTGATTTTAAGCATATTTATGAGTATTAAAAAACGAAGACTGACTATTAACGCTTACCTTGTTTTTCATTGCATTCGATCGGTGGGTAGGTGATTCAATATGGAACGTTTTTGTTCGGATAATTGTCGTTACGATATTCAGATAAGGTACAGTGTAAAATTCTTATAAGTGAAGATTTTTCAAATTCAAATCTAAATTTTAGAACATATTTGAAAAATTTCCAACTATGTATGTATGTATGTATTATGATGACATTTTAATATATGTTGTATTAATTTAGTTTTAATAATCATAATGTTCATTCTAGAGCAGATATTCGGCACCGATACAAAACGTCGCGTAATCTAAACACAAATAATCCACATGAAACGAAACGAAGAAAGAAAAAGAAAGAAAACGAGAGAATAATTAGAAATTAATATTAGAATTTTTTTCGTATGTTTCTTAGGTAGGTCATACAATAACTGGAGTTACTAAGTTAGAGAATTCTATAAACTAGTTTAGTAATTATAAATAAAAAAAACTAAACAAATAAACATAAAAACCAAAGACACAACTACAAGTTAAGGAAGTGAAAGAAATTTAAATTCTTTACTAAAATTCATAAAAAAATTTTGTATATTTGTTAGCACACGCACACATATGAAACTGAAAGCATAAAGTGATTTTATGTAAGTACTTTTTAGTGGTGTTCGAAATAAAACAAAAGTTTTTATTTACAAAAATATGTATCCACAATAGTTGTATAGGCATACCTGTATAGCCCTTTGGATAGACCATTGTAACATCATCGAATTTGGGTTTCTTCATACTTTGACTGGCAGCGCTGCCGCAACCTGTTTGTGAAATGTAAAAAATAAAACACGCACACGAAAAAAAAACAAAAAAAGTCCAGGGTTAGTATGTTGTGCCGCTGCTGCCGAGTTGATTTGTAAGACATTACCAAAATGTTGAGCATACGCACCGTCAAACTTCATCGCAGTCGCCGCAGCAACGGCGGCTTTATGCTGTTCTACGGTGCCGCCGGCTTCAAGTACGCGCATTTTATTACGATTCGCGATGGGACAGCCGGAGGCGCTGCAGAGAAAGAGAGAGAAGAAAGGAGTGTGAGTGGGGTGGTGTGTAGCAAAATCTATAATTGCAAACATACATACATACATATGAAAAGGTAGTAATGCTTACCTTCTGTGCGATAAAAATTTGCCAGTGGAGTGGCCAGAACCATCACAACCAGGTATGGGACATCTGAAATGGTAATGGAATTCGAGGCTATAAAATTTGTTAGGATTATTTTTTTACTAACTAATTCTTCTTGTTTAAAAGCGTATTTAGCATTCTTTTAAATTCAATAATAAGTAAGAAACTTTGGCCCTTTAAAAGAATTCGTCCCATAGCGTTACTCGGGAGTGTTGATGAAATGCGAGCTGGGATGTTCAAACCTTAGCCATGCACAATCAGAGAAGCTGAGGAGGAAACGCTGACACGAATCTACCTCGTCATCTTTCAAAAAGCTACAAGAAAGGGTTCCTATTCAGCGATGCCTAACCAGGATTCCTGTTAGCACCAAGAGTTGTCGGTAAGCCAGCTGAAAATGTTTTTAGGTTGCGCTTTATCCGGCCTGAAGGACTTTGAAAATTTGAATGTCGGGGTTTTCGCCCAGCGCTCACTGAGCCGACTGTAAACCCTGCCAAAAGTATGTAGTTCGCAAGTTGCCGCAGGAACTCCGATTGACTCTTTCCTTGATGACCTAAAGGGTGCCCTGCCTAGACAATATATCAGCCAAGCAGCGCATGGAATGTTGCTCTACCCTAGAAACGAAATAAGCCCGATTTGGAAGTAATCCGAGGTGACTGCGAGATCAAGCAGGCAGTACCAGTATCTGGAAGCCGTAGAGGGACAAACAACTTACTCTAATTCTACCATTCAACTTCGACCCTTTAGAGGGATAAATGTAGAGAAGGATCCAATTAGATCCAGCCTTGGCACACGCCGATTAATTTCTTCATGTGAACTCATACGGTGGGTTGTAGAATAACTCAGTGTTTCTTAGCCTGTTGGGGCGGTGTACACTTCGGCAGACGTACCTGCACGGTTTAGAGTAGGAGTCGTGCAGAGTGACTCTCTGAGTCTAAAAAGAGTAGGACTTAGCATATGTATTAAAATTTAATTTTCTAGTGTATTACAGCAGATAACCACCCCATACAAGAAAATTGGCTTGGAAATGGTTTGGAGAGAGGACAACCTCTTCTCAATAGCTTTATTAAATTAGTATAGAGCAACTGATGGATTTTTACTCGATACTCAAGAATTTGGCTTCCAGGGGGGCTTGTGGTTCAGAACAATGCCCAAATATGCGAACCTGTCTCCTCTATGCAAGTCATATTCCACTGAGTTACCCTTCGAGTATGCGTACTGAGAGAGACTCACCCACTTTCAAGGAATTTTGTATTTTAAGTATATAAAAGTCAATCAGGGCCCCGATGGTCTTCAATAGCAGGGATCAGATAAGTCTGAAATCCTTTGAAGATACGTGAGACCAGCTAACGTAGATAGCTTAAAGCCTTAACACAGTTTATCAGCCGCATTTTTCCAAAAGCTCTGCAGAAGAAAACAAAGCAGCCCAATGGGCTTATACTATTTACATGGTTCAGGATTTGTTAGGAAATGCGAATTTAAGAAAATATCAAGGGATTCCTCTCTCTCGTGTTTCCCAATTGCCAACCCTCGCTCTCAAAATTCTTATAAAGAAGTAAGGAATATTTGGCACTTACAATTTTACGCCAACCCCTAATGGCAAATGGTTTTATGCATGGCCCGAAAATAACAGTTATTCATGGATAAAAAGGAGTTAGACCCGAAATAGCTTTTAAACAGATAACAAACGAAGGTTACACACTCTATTTATATATTTTTTTTTTTAAATCAATACAAATGAAATTCATATACCTGACGCAATGTTTGTTCTAATTAAATAACGTAATTAAATAACATTTTTTATTGAAATATTTTTCAATAGGTGGTTTTTCTCGTTTAGACATTTCATTTTATACCAAACTTGTTTAATTTGGATAAGCGGTTTGTTTATTATTAGGAAAGACTTTTATTTCGGCCTTAAAAAATATTTGGCCGAGTTAAACTGCTAAAAAAATAACTGTAAATTATTATACGTTAGAAAAAATTTTTTGTAAATTTTTGAATGTTGCTTAGACCAGGGATGAAACCCAGATCCTACGGAGTGGTAGTATGCATTTTTAACCACTCGGCTATAGCGAACGTGAAGGATCTCAAGGCGCGTAAAGATTCATGGCAGCCTTTGACGTATTCGCAGAATTTTCTCCATGAGTATCGCTGGGATTTTCCTACCTCGGACTTATAGACAGCCGCAGTTTTCAATCGGAGAGTGCCAGTGTACTCTTATTGAAAAAATCTCCCCTTGGCGCTCTGCACTCAGAACTCCATTATCGACCAGTTGAGGCTTACTTGGACCTATGGGATCCTAAGCGGACATGAGCTTTCGATGTTGTTGTTGCCGATGCAAACTTGAAAAAATCATCGAACGAGCTTTCGCCAGTGTAAATTAAGCTTTTCTAGTGCTCTGTAGTTAGTTTTCTTCAAGTTGGTGGCTAAATTTCTTGTTCTTTTCGGAAAACTTTCAAGTCTCGGGGGATAGTTTCGAATTTTGTGAGTTTTTTTAAGATGTTCAGCAAGATATCAGGACCCACCGTAATTGATCGGTAATTTTCAGATTAAACGGTAAATTTGAAATTTATGTTTGTGTTTAATACATGCCCTAATTTCTATAGTAGGCGAAAACTACCAGCTATTTCAACTTAAAAAAAAATTGAAGAAAATTTAGCCGGTTTTTATTATTCGAAATATTAAAAATCTAATCGGTTTTGTATTTACTCTTTTTTGTATTTACTCTTCCCCATCAACCTGAAAAAGTTCTTTTACTCTTTTGTCGCGAGTGACATTTATTGCATAACTATTTGTAGAACATTTTAACCCTCTAGCGGTCAATCTCTTAAAAACATGGTCAAAAAACTCGTTCTGCTAAGAGCTAGCGGGTTAATGTGTTCTACGAAAAAAACGTCCCAGAAGATAAATTTTATTTTGAAAGTCGACTTATCCACGAAATTACAGCTTTTTGAAAATTAAATTTTTGAAGCTTTAACATAATGTAGCCATCTGTAAATAGAATTTACCATAAGGTTGTGCTTTTTATAAGGTATCGAAGACAAAGGATACAAATTTTTAAGAAAAATATCTGCCTACTTCGACTTTTTCATTTCTCGAGTTCAAGGAAAGACTTAATTGTGAATTGAAATCATTTGGACAGACGTCAAGACAATGGGTACTAACGTCCACTCTCAGTACAAAGCGTTGTCTCGAAACCTCACACTTCAAAAATATAGATTCAGTAAATAAATCTTACCTAAGCGGCTCCGAGTCCTGTCCATCGCGTGGCTTGCTCTTCGGCTTGTTGGCGCGCGGACAACCCGATAGACTGCGATGTGATGAGTAGTTACCAGTGACATGACCTGAACCATCGCAGCCTGGCGTGGGGCATTTCAGTTCCTGCGAGTGTGGCTGCAAATGATTTCGATCGCTGCGCGTACAGCCAGTCAAGCTATTGAAAAGAGATTAGAAACATAGAAAAAAAATTTAAAAAAAAAAACCATTCAAGTTAGCCAAATAAAAGAAAAGAGGAAAAGCAGCCAAGCAATGCAAACTTTAAAGCAAACAAGCCAACCCCGCAAGCATACTCGAGTAGGCACTTAACCCACTGCAATGATAGTTGATGGCTAAAATCAATCGGCGTTGGCAAATAAATTCGCTGCAAAAGTTGGCTATTGAAAGTTCGCTTTGGATTTGATAAATTTATCTAGCAAATTGCAAACTTATCATTGCCAGCAGCAGCATCAGCAGCAGGAGCAGGCAAAATACGATGAAAAGCAAGTAAAAATATATTGTAGTATGTGTGTGTGTGTGTGTGTGCGCACTCTGAAAGCTAAGCTGGTAAACCCGTTTATCCAGCAACTATCAATTGGTCAGCGTACACTTGAGTGCGCACTTAAAAGTTTAAGCCAACCAACTGCCGTGCCACTTGCCCGCTTGCTGCTCGAATAAAGACAAAAGCAGCTAACTGTCAGATGTATTGAAGCGTTCGAAAAGCCAACTATCAAATTGGATCTCAGCAGAACAATGCGGGTGTTTCTCTCGAGCGACCAATAAGCTTTCCATATAATCTCTTACTTCATTCAAATCAAAGTAGTCACTTAAAAAACACAGAAGCACATTGAAGATTCAAGCAATCCAAGCGCTTTAAAGTTGATTTTTCGTAGCCAAAGCACTACATTAGTTAGAGCACAATCTGAGCACAGGCACTCCCATCAACTGCCGGCCTTTCCTTGCATCGCACACACCCTCCACTTCTCGTCCATTGCACACCACCTGTCCGGCATGTGCCCGCTCGTTTGTTAGTAATTTCAATTTATTGCCACTCTGCCATTTGGGGGCCACACATCTTTTTAAATATTAAAGTCAAGCAAAAAGGATACAATTTTCTGCAGCTCCTTCGTACCCATCAGCTGCCATCAACACTCGTTTTCATTATCGTTGCCGACGTTCGACAATGTCACAACACACAATGGTCCTTTGTCAATGCAAAACTCGTCTGATAAGTGTCATTATTGCATATTTTAATATTTTCTCCATAATATTTCGTGTACCACCCACCATATGTATATGTGCACCACTAAAAGGACCTCTCATCTTCCTGCTGCATGCGCATACATCGTTGGCAAGGACACTTGCCTGTGCTCTTTTCATTAACGTAATAACGAGACTAGTGTCCTTTCCGGTGATCGGTGTGCCTCCTGTGCCCCTATGCCAGTGATGATGCTAGTGGTCCGACAAGCGCAATGCTCAAAGGGGTTGGCTGAACTATTTTCAGTGCATAGAAATCTTGCATGCAAAACTAAAAAAGGACATACATACTTATGTATGTATGTATGTATATATGAATGTACACGTGTGTCTATAAAAGTGTTAGTAGCGGTAGCAAGTAAGGTAGTAAGTAGCTGCTAAGCAAACATAGCTAGTAGTAATAAAGTAGCTGTTAGTAGTAAAGTGATTTGACTTGCCATTCGACTAACCTATCCTTTGTCTTGTCATGTTGCGGTATATGCTGTGGCGGTGGCATGGAGTAACACGACGCCGGACTGGGTGAGTAGCCGCCTGACACTGGTGTCGGATATCCGCCGGGACCGACAGCAGTCGCATAAGGATTGCTGCATTGATATGCGGCTGGACCGTAGCCATGATAGCCGGCCGGGGGATAATCAGACTGTACAACCATGCCATAGCCGGGATGAGGTGAATAGCCTGATTGTTGTGGGGAAGATGGTGAGAAGAGAAGTCAAAGAAATATGTTAAAGGAGAAACAAGAACTTTACATTTTTTAATCGATCGCTGTGAGCAGAGAAATTTGCGCTTCATAAAAAAACTAAAAAAAAGCTCTTCCAGCCACTTACCACTTGGATCGCGATAGCTATCGATGTAGTGTGAGCCACCACTGTCCGGCGTAGACTCACGACTGTACGGTCGCGGTCCGCCGATATGTCCGACGAGCCCAAAACCGAGTGGTCTTGGTGGACCGCTGAAATCGACGGGCTCCATTTGTGGTGAACGTGGCGCGCCGTTGGCACCTGTGGGTGGTAGACCTGGTCCAAAGCCTTGTGGATGTCCAACGACTAGACCGTCGGGGTGTGCACCATATTGAGGACTTGTAATAATACTGAAATAAGAAGAAAAAGAAAAATGTGGTTAGTTAGTAAGTAATTTGATTGAACTTTGTGTTGTTAGATTTTGAGGAATGTGGTTTAAGGTGCGGAATGTGTTGGAATGTTTTCGGGACTAAAGAGGATCTAATTGACTTCAGTGTACAAAGTAAGTAAACTCAAGACTTCCTAAAGCGCAAACTTAAATAATTACAGCGGTCTCCAGCCAGTGTGGTGCCGCAGAGGCACTAACCTAAAAACATATTGCAATGCACCACTGGATTGGACCTATGGAAAGGTCACTGGCATCCTGAACTTTGTTGCTGAGAAATAAGAGTGGAATCAGCATACTATTTTTCCCTGCGACCCTAGTTCAACCTGCTAGCACCCTAAAAATCTAATTCGAAATATGTTCCCCCAACCGAATTTTGTCATTTGACAGCTAAAAGTAGCATTTGATGTTCATATCTCCAGAAATTTTCTGTTTCTCAAAATTACCTGTGTGGCAGACGTGTGACGCTCAGGTCCAACGTTTGTCCTTGCGGACTTGGCACTTGTGGACTGGCTATGTTCGGGCTCGCTCCTGGCTGTGGACTGCCCGCGCCCATACGCTGACTGTATTGGTTATGCGATGCTGGCGAGTTGAAACCATGCGGACTGGACGAGGTTACCGACGCGGAGGCTGACAAGTCTACGACCGGTGCACCAGGCGGTGATGGTGAACCACTCTGCTTCGGTTGTTGCTGCTGCTGTTGTTGTTGTTGTTGCTGCTGATGCTGCTGCTGTTGCTGCTGCTGATTTTGATAAGCCGCCGCAGCTGCTGCTGCTTGTGCTGCCGCCATTTTCACCGACAAATTAATAGCTGAAAAACCCGGTGGCAATGGACCCATACTCGGATCATAGTGATACATGGGACGTGGATATATTGGTCCACCATTGGCGAGCTCATCATGCTCCGCCTTGGCCATTAACATTTGTTGCTCCTGCAAGTATTTCTGTTGCTGCGCTTGCAAGTCGTCCGCTGTCTGTGGCAGATAGTGGTACATATTGGATGGTGGCCCCTGACGTTGACCATTGCAGATGGGGTCGTAACGTTCGAAGGCTGTAGGCATGCCGGAAACACTGGATACGCTCGTGGCATCAGCGTAAGCGGCAGCTGCGGCTGCAGACGATAGTGATGTGGGTGGATTCGTATCGTAGGGGCGCGCATTGGGCGATAGTGTATTGGTGGGTGCGCCATTGGCGGTGAGCATCTCCTGTCCGTAAGCGGATGTGGGTGGTTTGCCGCCACCTAAACTGCCGTCGCCACCATTCACCATGTGCTGTGCATAGCGCATATGCTCGTAGTGCTGTTGGTGTTGTTGTTGTTGGTGCTGCGTATCGTCATGATGACCGTCGGTGCGATATGCATCGGTACTATTTACGGAAGTTCCATTGCCGGCGGACATCATTAGCGATGATGAGTCTTCGATGAATGGACCACGTTGCTGATGCAGCGTATGTTGTTGCTGTTGATGGTGGGGATTGTGTGGGCTTTGTTGTTGTGCATGCTGTTGCTGCTGGTGCTGTTGATGTTGCTGTTGATGTTGCTGCTGATGTGGATCGGCCATTGTATGTGGTGGTTGCGGTGGTGGTGGCTGCTGTTGCTGTTGCATGCTCACGTAGCCGGACGCTTGAAGTGTTCCGGTCGCACTTCGTGCGCCACTCAAGTGCGGTGCGTGCAAATTGTCCGAACTGGTGGTGGACACTGAGCCTGAATTATGCGGCGCACCGTTGGAAGAACGGTCTGTTGGGCCAATGCCGCCGCTACCAGCGCTACCACCGCCATTGCCGGCGTTACCGCCGCTGCTGTCCGCACTGTTCATGTACGGGTGCATGGGACTTTTATTGTATTCGGACTTGACGCTAGCGACCGGACTGAATTCCGTTTTGATAATTGGCATTGCGTTGCTCGCAGTACTTGAGTTTGCCGTCGAGTTCGAATTCGCGTTGAGGCTGAGTGCGTTGTTGCTGCCGGATGTCGTGCTGTTGTTGCTGCTACCGGTCGTGTCGTGACTGTTGTTATTATTTATGCAGCTGATGTTGTTGTTATTCAAGTATTGATTCGTGGTGATTTTCAACTTTTCCAAATGATGCAACTCCTTCGGCTCGGACTTGAATGAGTCTACCACAGCTGTGAGTGAGAGATAAACAGTGTGAGAGCGTGCGGGTTTGCTTGTAGGATATGGAATTTGTAAACAAACTTCTTTAATGGAAAAAATGAGAGTTACAAAACAAATGTACGATAAACTTTAACAAAAGCAACTTCGCAGCATCGTTTAGAAGGGTAGAGATTATTGTTACGTGTTTTAAAATTATAAAAAAATAGACGAATGCCTCTGAATCGGCAACAAACCTTCGTCCTCCTTATCAACTTCCAGCTGCAGGGGTTTCAATATGCTTATTGTTTTTGGCTCTCTTCTCTGAATAAGTTCACAAAATTTATTAGCTATGGTCGCTTGTGAATGCGGTGCGCTTTTCTTGCTTATCGCCGTTTGCTTCTCTATGCTGGCTGCTTTCTTGACGGCGGCGCGTTTTACAGCCTTCGGACAACCGGACAGACTGCGATGTACACTACGATGTTCTTGTACATGGCCGCGTCCGTTGCAGCCTGGCGTGGGACATTTGAGAATCTGCTCATGCAAGGCCAACACTACGATTTTGTGGTGGGAATGTAGCACCCGTTCAGGTGGCATTGGTAAGGAAAAATAATTTTTATTAAATGAATGAATTCGTTGTTTTGGAAATATTTTGTTTAGACGAGCAACAACATCGTTTTACTACGACCACGTTTACGATCAGGCATTCCAAATATGCAGTTCAGAGACAGAGTGAGATAGAGAGAGAGAGAGACATTAGTTTGCCGACGAGCAATAGAGCAAATAGTTGGCTAATGGATAGTTGGTTAGTATACTAATGAAGACGTTCAATATAGAGTTGCAAACAGACAAGGAGAGAAATAGAATAACCATAGATGGCAGTATCATCTGAGCTTTTGGCAGAATACAAAATTGGTCATAGATAGTTTTCTATGAAAGGAGACTTAGACTTAGAGCAGTAAAGTTTACTAAACACTAAGAGAGCATCTACAATGCGTCAGCTGTGAGTGGAGAGTGCTTCTTTTTGAAATTTTCTTCAATTCTTCAGTAACAGCTTGGCGAGAAGTTTAAGTCATCCTCGATGATTGGAAGGGTCGTAATTATATATGACGTTCAGAATGCTTAACTTCACCGTGTGTCGATGTTGTAAGTAGAAGGAGATTTCAAAAAAGCACTCCGAACTCCAAGCTGAATCACCCTATAGCACTTTAGATTTGTAAATAAAAATGGTTTAGTTTTTCAAGCGGTCACTGCATAATCTTATATTTTTATTTTCATTTAAATTAACTCGAAATGTGTACTTATAATCTCTACCCCATTTATTAAGAAAGAAATTGAGACTAAAACAAAAATTTTAAATAAAATTTCAAATAAATAAAAATAAAGGAACCCATAAAGCAGGATACATATGTATACTTAGTTACTGCACTAGGAGTGAATGAATAAAACATATACGTATACAGAGATGCATAGAGTTCATCGAGTGTTTTCATGCAACATTAAACAACTAAAATACATTCATGCTTTATACATTTTAATTATCCCAATTCTGATTGTAGGTACTCGTTTTTTTCGACAGCCGTCAGTTCAATGATGTCGCGAAAGGCGAAAACGACAAATTTTTACATACATATTTTTAATACATAGTTTCAAATTTCAAAATGCATACGTAAATACAATGGGCAATAGCAGGTTATGCCATTGCCTTGTTAAAAATGGCAATGAGAATGCTAATTTACGTCGAACAACTATCGTACCTACAATCAGTAGTGGTGTGATTAGCTACTACACTTTTTTTTGGTTCAACTTACATTCCGATGTGACTTTATCACGTTTTGGACAGCCAGATAAGCTGAGGAAAGCACAAATCGTAAAGTATATACAAATTGTTTAACGAATTGCAACAAATTACAAAAATACGACGGTCTTTTGAATAGAGAACGTATTACAAATTTTCTCGTAGAGTTCACACTTCATAAATTGCTATATGTATACCTACATATTGTTATCTTAATATAGAAAGGCCCTAACTCGTTTTCATTTCGAATCCAGGTCTTATAGAATTTGAAAACCAATGCTTCAGCGTTAGATAAAATATTATGTTTAATACAAATTAGAACTCCGACGAAATTCGCAAGTGTAGAACTTTGCTTTTCGCTGAATTTTCAAACTATGTTTGATGGAACAAAAATGTGAGATAGGGCCTTTCTATTTACAATAAGGTAACGATATGTATGTTTGTAGTAATAGTATTGCATTTCTAAAACCATTATCATGATGGATTGTCAATCACGAAAAAGCAAAAAAAAAAACTGCAGACCAACAACTGTATTTATCTCATTAAAGATGCGGGGACGAGTGGTGGACATTAACATCAATATCTCTTTGGAAGATCTGAAAGAAATATTTAAATCGAATATTTAATCGTTGAGTTTTTCATCGCCTTGCGTTATACCAAAGCGTTATACCGAAACGCCATGCGCCAACGATAGGTCAAAAGAAGAAAAGCGTTTTCGTCGTTTTCTACAGCGAATTTCATTAAACAACACAACAATAGTAAAAATAACCTAATCCTCTGTGAAGGTTGCAGTATCTGACGTCATATGTAAATCAATTAAGTATAGCCTAATGTAGGTTTAGATATAAATATGAGCAAATCTAACGAGTTGTTACCTTTTTCGACCAAATCCTGTTTTTGGTCGAAAATGATGGCACATTTATCTTATACAATGCATTATCTTCAGTTTTGCATCAAGAACAAGATTCGATTGCGAAATTATATTTAAAAGAAAACTTAAAAAAGATATACTAAAGAAAGTCATGATAATAACTCGTACCAGTCAGCTAACACGTTTGCTCGCACGCTTTAACTTAACATTCATTTTATATAAAAGTTATTAAATATTGGCCTGGAATAATTTTCTACAGTATTATTCACGAATATATACATATTAATTTTTTCATGTGCACCCTGCAAAAAATGGGACTAATCCGGGATGACTCCGGGAGCAATCGCAAAGGAGCATGCGACTAATACCACTTTTGATCTCTTTATATGGAATGAACTGATCGCTTTTGTTCGAGCATGTCCTATGAAGAGACTAATTGTTCACCTTTATACCCGAACGGGTATAAAAAGCGACTAGTCACTTTTAAAAAATAAAAATAAAAATTTGCGCCACCTGAGATCCGAACCGGGGTGCTCAGTTTTGTTAGGCGAATACTCTCTCTGTGTGCTAACGCCGCACATGAAATTTCATTGACTAAGTGCGTACATATCATTAAATCGTTAATAGTACCCGTTAGAGATGAGTCGGGGACTAATTGATCTCCACTTATACCCGTAAGGGATGAGTCGAGACTAATTGATCCCCAATAGTACCCGGATGAGACTAGCTGCGACTAAATAATGCCCAATTGTATCCGAATGAGAGTAATCTCGGAATACTCTCTTTAGAGATTAGTCGCAAAATTTTTTGCAGGGCACATATAACAATTTCAGAATGAATTCCGAGTGTGCCAATAAAAATTGTTAGATTGGAGTTTTTGTTTCGCAAATCATCGTCATTGTATAAGCAATACAATTTTTTCTTTAATTTGGTGGCACACTAGTTTTATACCTCTAGATTGGTTCGTTTTGGCAAGAAGAATATTTTCGCAGTTTCACATTGACATTTTGAGTTATCCTAAAAAATTAAATGAAAAAAATCGTAAAATTTCATTTGATTTAATTTGGTGGCACACTCTGGAAACTTCACAGATATGCTATATTTGAGGCCAACTTTCATTGCCTCTAATATGAATATTCCATTTGAAAACTTCCCAAAGTTATTAAAAAACTAGTTATGATTTTTTCCATGACAATGAAAAAATTAGTAATTTAGGTACTTCTTCGCCTAAATAAACGTTTTAAGGCTAAAATTGTTTCAACATGTGATTTATTTTTTATTGCACTTTTATCTGGAACCAGGATTTGAAATGCCTAAGCAATATTAACAAAAGCAACGAAAATATGCTGATGCTGTACTTCTGACTTTGTCTTGCTTCAAAAGCAATATTCATGCTTTTGCTTAGACTTCGAAAAAAAAAAAACGAACAGCCACAGCAGCAGCACGAGAAGAGCTGCAAAGCAAACGAATGTTTGCTTTCCGGCACGAATGCGATGCTTATCAGCAAAGGCATTTTTCTGATGCTTGCTTATTGAAAAGTACGGAGGCAGAAGCAGAAGAAATTGATCGGCTTTCGGCCGAACGAATAACCACAGCAGCAACACGGAAAATGATTGATTGATTTTGAAGATGAGACAATGGCGAAAGAGTCCGTTACTAGGCCTGGGTAACGGCGCAAATTTTTTGGCGCTGACACACTAACTCCAGCGCCACTGTCGGAATCAGCACGTGTGTTGGCGCAATTGCGCCTCTTCAGGCTAAAGCTCATTTCCTTTATTGCTGCACGCTGCACCAAAGTGAATTAATACAAGGTGATATCGGTTGAGAAAAAACTCAAGTATACCCAAGTTCAAAACCCAAAAATACAACAAACCCATCATTTTCACATTCAGAAGGACCGCGACGAATTCTAGCTGTGCTGCACATTTTACAAGAGACACTTCTATTTCGGGTGTTCTTTGCTGGTTCTTTGCGACACCCGGTGTTGTCAGTGTTCCGGTGCTGAACTAAGGTGAATTAATACAAGGTGGTATCGGTTGGGCAAAAACAAGCCAAGTTCAAAACCCAAAAATACAACAAACACATAATTTTCACATTCAGAAGGACGGCGGCTAATTTTAGCAACACCACCTTGTAAAAATTCGCCTTGTGCTGCACATTTTACAAGTGACACTTCGCTTTTGTGTGTTCTTTGTTGGTTCTTTGCGCCGCCGAAGGTTGTTAGTGTTCCGGTGTTGCTGGCGCCATTGCGTCACAGAGTTGTGAAAATCGGTATCGGCGCCAGTAACTCAGCTCTCGGTATCAGCGCAATGGCGCGGCGCCGCACTGTGTTACCCACGGCTATCCGTTACTTTTCCCATACCACTATCCTAGACTGATCTCTGAACGAGTTACATTAATAGGCCTAGTAAAATGAAAACAAAACACGATTTAGGCGCCCTTCCCTCACAGGAAAAACTCTCACGTTAAGACCTGAAATAACCTGGAAGAAAGAGCCAATGTAATATATTATACATGCGAGAAGATCTTCAGTTGAATACAAAGATTAACCTACGGAGGTGCACTGGTTGGTGAAAAGCCGTGGTTAAGAAATCCACCGAAAAAATATTAAGAAGAGGTTACTGAGCAGATTTTTACAGTGCTACGGGATCAATTAAGTTGTCTACTAGGGACAGCAAACTCTGAAATTAAACTCAAAGAGTCAACTTGATCGAGGTCGGAGCCATGCGCGCTTAGAGATATTCTTGACAAGCCTTTAGAATCAGGGACAATCAGACTGAAGTTCCCTGCTATCCAAGCTGACGGGTACAAAGGGAGTTTGGTGTGGCTGTGGATGTGTTCTTTGAGACACAATTAAGCAACGGTATTTGGAAGGACTTGTTAAAAAAAAATGCAGCAAATTTGTTGTTAAAAACGAGTATTCGTAGAGGCTTTCAAAAGTGAGTTTAAATTATGAAGTCCTCAGAGGAAATAAATAATGAGAACCTCTCCAGGCCAATTGAAACCAAACGTGATTTTCATGAGTCGTGAGCCAAGAAAAAAGAGAAGAATACTTAATCAGTACGGTCAGATGGGGAACACATTGAAAAGTTATAGGGAAAATAAATATTTTTGGTCTTTTGCGAAAGTTTTGAAATATCTCATGCGTGGTATTGCATTGCTGTGATTGCACACTTAGCGACGAATGGTTTTAAAGTGTTAAGTTAAACGGATTCTTGTTCTTTTGAAGCTTAAGCTATATAATGTTACGAAATATATTTATAAAAAAAGAGTTGATGTCGCAAAAATGTGTTGCAAGTACTTTTACCACAATTTGTATTTATTTTATTTATTTGTAGTTTTAGTTTTTCAAATATACCACTAGTAACATCATAGCATTTATTTTAGTGTGAACTCAATTAAAATAATATTTAGTTGATTTTTCTTAAGTTTTATACCTTCGATGGTGTGAGTAAAGCCCTGTGATATGTCCTTGGCCGTTACAGCTTGGCGTGGGACACTTGGTGCCATCTGTAACGAATGGGTGAGGAAATATGTAAAGACTAAAAACAGAAAAACGACGCACAATGTCATATAGTACAGATAATATTTAAAAGGAAATTATCTAAATATTGAATAAGAATGCAATTAAAGAAAAATTTTAATTACAAAAATATATACATATGTAAGTATATGTGCAAATCGGCGGCTAAAATAAACTGAAAAGTGAAGTTATTAAAATGCTTCATCACGAAGTCAAATAATTTAAAATGTTTCTAGACAGTCTTCTAAAAATTTCACGACCCCTCAAAATAAGTGAAAGAATGTTTAAGTTTTTGATAAGTATATCAGAATATGTAATGCTTTGCCAGTTACTTCTATGTGAGTTTTAAATATTCTCTGACACACACAACTAACAGACGGTTTCTTTGGAGGTTCACAAATAATTTTTACTTTTTAATTAATTAAAGGAAAGCAAATATCAGACTTGACAAGCGTATCCTTTCGTATATTCACCCATATACACTTTCATACTTACAAATGCATGTGTGTTTGAACGCATACATGCATACATTTTGAAAAACACTCAGCTTCTGTAATGAGTACTAGATGCGTATACTTCGAGTACTTTTTGGAATTTTTCCTAAATAATAAATTAAAATTTGATGGAAAACAGCTTTGCATTATTTACCGCACACGGGTAGTAGAAAGATGCCAAACACACATACATAGCAGCTACATACCCTGCAGTAAAATTTAGAGACAGTCTCTTAAAGCGCTAGTTCCGCCCTACACATTTCAGAACCATCTCTGAACTAGTGCAAAACGGCTGCAGAGAGGGACAGTTGAAACTCTCGGCGTGTTAGTTGCGCTCTGTTGAGAAGTAAATGCACAAATTCTCACCTCTCGTACAATACGAAAATAGCTCAGCGGGAAGACCTTCGACTCTAATATCGTTGGTCACGAGTTCAAATCGCGGTGGAGGCAGTTGTGATTTTCAGATTTAAGAAATTTAAATTGTTGAGTGCCGATTTAAAATTTAAGAGAAACTGATCAAATAAAATAAGCAAAATAAAAAAATAAAAAATAAAAATTTAATAGAATGCAATCTGTAAACGAACAGAAAAAGACGAAAAAATATCAAAAAATCGAATAATCAGATTTTTTTCATAAAAAATTTATTGTCGCAGATCTGTCTAAAATGGAACCAGTTTAGAATAAAAAATAGTCTAATAATCGAGTTTTAAAATTTTTTCTCATAGAAAAACTTACTGTCCCAGAACTGTCCAAAATGGAACCAGTTTAGAACTAGTTCGAAAGGTCTGCAAAGGCGGGCAATTTCCACTTCGTAGGACATCGCCATGTAAAAAGAGACAGTTGAAAGCATTGCGTTGGGATAGATCGAGAACCAGTACCGCCTCTTAAAGAGCTAGTTCTGCGCTAGTCCTGAACTAGCGCGATTTACTGCAGGGTATGTATACTTTACACACATCCAAATAACATTTTATTCAGCAGCAAATAAATTAATCGGTGGGGTAGAGTGGTAGCATACAAAAAACCTGTCTCAGACGTGCACACATTTGCTAATGTAGAACGCTTGTATGCACCATAGTGTGTGTGTGTGTACGGGAGAGAAAAAGGGGTGACATTTTTAAGCTAAATGAGTTGGGGTTAAGAGAGGTTATGGAAAATGTTTAGAAAATATTTTTGTCTATTACGTGCGAGGTTAAAGAACACGGAAGAATATTGAGAAGCAAAAATATGTACACATGTACATACATATGTATGCAAAAGCATACGTGGATTCAGCATAGACAACGCGAACTTGTAGTGAAGTTAGTGTGAAGCTGTGTTCTATCTACCTGAGACATGCAAATGCTTAACGTCTACTAATTAGAATTTAATGAAAATAAGCAAAAATGACAGATGAAGCGGCTAGGGTAGCAATGAATTCGATAGATAGCTACAGTAGTCCTTGGCAAAGCATCGTAAAACTATTGGCTGCTGGTTAGTTGATTGAAATTAGCAAATAGTTTCTGAGGAAGCTAAACTTTTTTGTTACTTTTTAAAATATTAAATTAAAATGCATATTTTGTCTTATCTGTGTAAGTATGTATGTAGATTCCCTGCAAACCAAAGTTCCCGAAATTTTTAGGAGTATATAATTTCTGTAACGATTTTTTTTTACGAATATTCAAAGAAAATTGTATGAAGTGGTTGACACGAATTCGTAAAGAAATCTCTGTACGAAAAATAAAGAAAATTCTGAAAAAAATATGCAAGAAATTTTTCACATAGCAGCATTATTTTCATTGATTTACCGATTTTCTTCCGAAATTTCGTAAAAGAATCGAAATGTGCACAGTTTATTTTATTTTAGAAAATTCAGAAGAAAAATCGGATGAGATCTTTACGGGCTGCAGAGTTCTTTCCGAAATCAATCTATGTGTCACAGATCACGTGTCATATGTTCGACTGAAAGTAAAAACAGAATATAAATTTTTGGTAATTTATTCAAAATCTGGAATTCAACATTTTAAAAACTCACTAAATAATGCAGAACTATTCTAAACACCACAGGTACTGCATTATTGCATTATTATGTCAAAAATGATTTTTTTTTTCATACAAATGGTTCCAAGCTAAACGAAAGAGTGGGCAGCGGAATACTCTGTGGTGAATTCGCACTAAAACCTCAGTTTTCTCTTAGCGGTCCATTTTAGTGTCTTCTGAGCGGAACTATACGCCATAATGAAGGCCGTTCGGTGGCCCATAGCTTCCTTCCCTCCAGAACGGTCTATCACTATATATTCTGACAGCCAAGCTGCATAAAATATTTCAAATTTGGTGGAGCATCGTCGAAAGTAGCCATAGAATGCAGAAGGATTCTCAATATGCTAGCGTCATAATACGCCTTGACTGTGGTATGGATCCCTGGGCACAGGTATATTCCTGACAACTGCCAAGCAGATAATGTGGCAAAGAGGGGGAACGAGTGGGTTGTGGAAACCACTTGCTGCCATACTACTAGGCAAATCCATAGATCTCATTCGACTTGACCGCTCTTCTCTCAGATTAGTAGTCGCCGGAGGCCCTACCTTATGGGCACGAATGGAAAGAGGTAGGGATATTCAAGCAAAGACTTTTGTCGCAGCTGCAGAGACGAGGAAGAGGAGGAATGCAACGAAGTCTATCTCTGCCACTGTCAAGCCCTTGCCAAGACGCAGCGAACATTATCGATTTGTTGTGCTAAATAAAACGCATTTGGTGGTTAAATTTTTAAAGGAGGGAAATAAACGAATCTCTTCTGCGAGTGGTATCACAACGGGCTTTTTCAGCCTACGTGCGCCTCCGTGCGCTTGCGCGACGGCTGCCATTCAAACCTAAGCTATGGCTATAGACTGACTAAAATGGTTCGTGAAAAACGCAATAGTTTTTGACTTCTATTCACCTGATTGGTTAAGTATAGTGATTAGTGAATTGGTGAATCGCTTGCCAGGATGCAAGAAGCAGCCGTGGCAAATTCTATTGTAAGAAAGTCTTATTCCATGTAGTGGAAATGACCGGTGGTATCTTGGAGACGTCAGTGTAGATACAGGTGGCGTCCTTATCAGCGATTTGGTCTCTTTATTTCCGCCCAAATGAGAACCTCACCTGTATATCTTAGCCATGTAGTTGCTATCGGAATATTGCCTATAATTAAGCTGTGCTCAAAGGTCTTCTTTATTACATAGACCCGATTCTCTGACCCTTACTTAGCATAACATTGAGTGCCTCTGAGGAGCAGGACTTCAGAGCCGCTTTCTGCTGGAAGTCTAAATTGGGGCATCTTATTTATATTTGTAAACAATTAAATTTTAATTAGGACGACTATATTTGGATCCTGTGTGAAATTTAGCAGGGTTCCCTCTTTTACTAAAAGGACAAATAAAATATCGACTGCTAGTATTTTAGAGTTACGAGAATATAAAATTCTGGTTTCGACAAACAAATTGCTAGTATTTTCTAAGGGTCAGCCACATACCTTTTTTGGGGAGTGCTTAAGAGGGCAACCCGTAATGGGTTCACCCTAACGTTTTTGGCTTTAGAACAGCATCATCTGGGTCACATAAAGCAATGAATTCTGTATTTGGGGTCCGCATTTCGAAACATAACTACATAAATGCCAATGAAAACGGTGTCACTGATCCACCATTCGTAATCTACCACAAAAGTAGAGTAACATTTCAAAACGGAACTTTACTTTACTCACATCTAAACATATCCATTATTTTATATGAGTTCAGGAATTTGAAGCACCATATATTCTACTGGGTAGCAGGGTACGCGGGAGTCGAAGGAAATGTGGAAGCGGATCAGTTTGCCAGAATGGCTGCTGCCTTGAACCCGAAAGGATCTGAGCCCTTTCTTTCAGTGGGTCACAACACGATAAATGAAGTACTCAGAAAGGAAAATATCCAACTAAGGGTACTACACTGGCATAACCCAAAGGGGCTTCGTTAAGCTAAAAGCTTGCTAGTTGGCTAAAATTTGAATTGATACAGGCTACTCATGCGCCTCTCGAAGGAGAAACTAAAAATCATTACAGGCATTTTGACGGGCCATTCTACGCTAAGACTCAATTTCAAAAATTCATTTTCAGATCATACATTTAATCTGCACTTAATTGGCCAATATTGGCTATTTAAATATGAGATATGCAACCCTATGCTGGTACCAAACAACCAAGATTGACAGATGGGTTGTTTTATCAATCGTGCTAAACAAAAATCAGCTGTTCAGCATTAAATGTAAACAAAAACAAAATGCAACAACAATTTCAAGGAACATGCAACAGTGTTGCCACTTCTTTGGCATATTAAATATTAAAAGTTGATCTGAAACTCAACGAAAGTTAAATGTCATTTAAATAGCAATCGAAAATAAAACTTAAGTGTCGTTTAAATATTCATCTGAAATTGGCTCATATATTCTAGGAATCGAGTTAAGCGACCTATGTCGATTTTGTGACTCGGCCAAGAAGAAAGCAT